ATGATTGACAGTGCTGAGTTGCGCAGTGGTCTCTATCTCCTCAACAAACCCTCTGTCAGTCTAGTCTCACCCACCGGTTGTATTCCAGTATCAAGTCTGTCTTACTTAAATCCGCTTAGTACATCTGTATTCCAATTTAACGTTAATAATGATGGTGAAATTATGTTACTTCAATATCGTTTAGGTCATCCCAACTTTATGTACCTGGGGAAACTGTTTCCTTATTTATTTATTAATAAAAGTCCTACCTCTTTTAATTGCAAATTTTGTCAACTTGCCAAACACACTCGTACTTCATTTCCTCGATTATCATACAAACTCACTCGTCCCTTTTCTCTGATCCATAGTGACGTCTGTGGTCCTTCTCGTGAAAAAAAATATTTCCGGGGCCCAATGGTTCGTGTCCTTTATTGATGATCACACACGGGTGACATGGATCTATCTTGGTAGGACCAATATTTCGTGCATTTTATCAAATGATACTCACTCAATTTGATACAAAAATCCAGGCTCTCAAAACAGATAATGCACGAGATTTTTTCAACACCTCCCTAAGAACTTTTCTTACTCAACATGACATCCTTTACTTTAGCATGTGTGTTGACTCCCCAACAAAATGGGGTTGCCGAGCGGAAAAATCGTCACTTGTTGGAGGCAGCCCGTTGTCTCATGTTTACCACATCGGTCCCTAAATGTTATTGGGGCGAGACAACATTGACCGCTGCCTACCTCATAAATCGGATGCCCTCTCGTATTCTGGGTTTCCGTAGTCCAATTGATGTCATTCGCTCCTTTCCAAATACCTGTACACTCTCTTCAGCTGTCCCTACCAAACTATTTGGTTGTTTTGTCTTTGTTCATATTCACAAATAACACCGCAATAAATTATACCCAAAATCTGTCAAATGCATATTCATAGGGTATAAGACCAACAAGAAAGGCTACAAGTGTTATTGTCCTTCAACTAAAAAGGTTTATAATTCCATGGATGTCACCTTTTTTGAGCATCAATTATACTAAACCAAGGGTCTGTCATTCTGGGGGAGAGTAGTCGGAGTGAACAAAAGTCCTGTGTTCCTTTACCAACTGACACGGGTCCCTCACCGACTGTCAAACCTCCTCCATCTCCTATTCAACCTCCTCCGTCTACGTAACCTATTCAACCTCCTCAGTCTACACAACCCACACCTTCTCCTATTCAACCTATACAAGACGAAACAGAACTGCTGAAAGAATAGAGAACCTAACACCGCTTCCAGCTGCTGTCCAAGAATCTAATCCGACTCCAAAATCCTCTGAAACTCACTCAGGTACAGAATTTATAGATACTAGTGATTATGAGCTTACCCCGCCTGTGAAAGATGATTCTGATGTTCCTTGCACTCAACATCCTATTGCCCGATTTGTTTCATATGAGAGGTTATCTCTTCCCCATCATGCATTTGTAACTGCTATTGACAGCATAAAGGTTCCGAATTCTATTCAGGAAGCTCTCTCACACCCAGAATGGAGAAAATCTGTGAATGAAGAAGTTGTTGCACTGGAAAAGAGTGGAACGTAGATTGTATCTGATTTGTCCAAGGATACGAGACCAGTAGGATGCAGATGGTTATTTACCATCAAATGTAAGACAGACGGAAGCATAGATCGGTTAAAAGCTTGACTGGTTGCAAAAGGTTATACTCAGTCATACGAAATTGGCTACCAAGAGACATTTGCCCCAGTAGCCAAACTGAACTCCATTAGAATCCTACTCTCCATTGCAGCAAACCGAGATTGGGCCCTTATGCAACTTGATGTCAAAAATGCATTCCTTAATGGAGATCTTGAAGAGGATGTATATATGGATTTACCGTCTGGTCTTGAACGGTCATTCCCTAGTGACAAAGTATGGAAGCTTCAAAAATCTCTGTATGGTCTCAAACAATCTCCTCGTGCTTGGTTTGCAAAATTCACCAATTCAGTAATCAAGTGCGGTTATACTCAAAGCCAGACTGATCATACAATGTTCACAAAAAGATCTGAGAAGAAGATTGCTGTTCTTATTGTGTATGTTGATGACATCATTCTTACCGGTGATCACAATGAAGAATTGACAAAGCTGAAGAAGTTT